AATTAACACCTTATCACATATATGCTTTATGAATATTTTCTCTTACTGTGTATGTTGCCTTTTCACTCTGTTGATTATTTCTTTTGCTGGGCAGAAGCTTTTTAGTTTGACCAGTTCCATTTGTCTAATTTTGCTTTTATTGCCTGTGCTTTTGGTAGTACATCCATGAATTATTGTCAAGACAAATGTAATGAAACTCTTTCTCTAAGTTCTATTCTAAGAATTTTATAGTTTCTAGTTTTAAATTTTAATCTTCAACACAGTCTGAGTTTATTTTTTCAGTATATATAATGGTATAACATCATTCTCTTGTATGTGAATATCCACTTTTCTCAACACCATTTGTCAGAGAAACAATTATTTCACTATTGTGATCGCTTGTCAAAGATCAGATGACTGTATACACACAGATTTCTCTGGGCTCTGTATTCCATTCTATTGGTCTATATATCTATCTTTATGCCAGTACTGTAATGTATTAATTACTTTAGCTTTAACATATATTTGTAGTCAGGAAGTGTGAGCCATCATCTTCATTCTTTCTCAAGGTTGCTTTGGCTATTTGAGGTCATTTGTTAGTTTCATATGAATTTGAATCTGTGGATATATGTGGGTAGGTATGTTCCTTCTATACCCAGATTTTTGAGGGCTTTTATTATGAAGGGATGTTGAATTTTATCAAGTGCTTTTTTAGCATCAATTGAAACGATCATAGGATTTTTACCTTTCATGCTGTTTATATAACGTATCAGATTTATTGATTTGCATATGTTGAACTAACCTTGGATCCCAGGATAAATCCCACTTGGTCATGATGAATGATCATTCTAATGTATTGTTGAATTTGGTTTGTTACTATTTCGTTGAGGATATTTGCATCAATATTCATCAGAGAAATTGGCTTGTAGTTTTCTTTTTTTGATGTGTATTTGTCTGTTTTTGTATCGGGGTAATATTGGCCTCACAGAATGAGTTTGGAAGTATTCCCTCCTCCTCCATTTTTTGGAATGGTTTGAGTAGTATTGGCATTAATTATTTCAGTCTCTTTGTTAAATTATCTGATAGTTTCTGAATTCCTTCTCTGTGTTATCTTGAATTTCTTTGAGTTTCTTCAGAACAGCTATGTTGAATTCTCTGTTTGAACGATTACATATGTCTCTTTCACCAGGATTGTTCCCTGGTGCCTTATTTAATTTGTCTGGTGAGGTCATGTTTTCCTGGCTGATCTTAGTGCTTATGTTATTCATCAGTGTCTGGGCATTGATGACTTAGGTATTTATTGTAGTCTTTGTAGTCTGGGTTTGTTTTTACCCATCCTTCTTTACTAGGCTTTTTAGGTATATGAAGGGACTTTGGCCACAACCTCAATAATACTGTGGTTTTTACAGGCTTGGGGAGGTACTGCCTTCGTGACCTTGGAAAGTATATGGAAGAATTCACTGGATTATTAAGCAGAGACTCTTGTTCTCTTCCCCTACTTTCTCCAAAGTAAATGTAGTCTTACTCTTTCTGTGCTGAGCTGCCTGGAACTGGGGGTTCAGTGATGCAAGCATCCTTGTGCCCCCCCCCCAGCTGAGACTGTACTGGGTAAGACCTGAAGCCAGCACAGCACTGGGTCTTGGCCAAGGCCCTCTGTAACTACTATCGGGCTACCATCTATGTTAACTCAAGCTCAAGGGCTCTACAATCAGTAGTTGGCCAAGCCGGCCAGGTTTGTGTCTTTCCCTTCAGTGCAGTGAGTTCCCCTAGGCCTCAGGCTGGCCTACAGATGCTAAGAGCCAAGGTTTGGAGCAAAAAACCTTAGCAATTTACCTATAATAGATGTTCTGTTCTACTGTGGCTACACTGGTACCCAAAACACAGCACAAAGTTCTTTTTGCTCGTCTCTCCCTTTACCACAGGCAGAGGAGCCTCTCCCTGTGTCCACCGCCACCACAGGCCCAAGGAAGATTCTGCCAGGCCACCAACCATGTTCAATTAAAGCTCTAGGACTCTTCAGTCAGGTTATTATGAATGCTGCCAGGTCTCAGAGACTCATCCTTCAGGGCAATGTGTCTCTTAATTCAGGACTAGGCTATTGGACAGCATTTCTACACTTGCCTGTGGCCCAGGGCAGGTCTAGAAAAGGTGTCTAAGAGCTTAGTTCTGGACTCAGGGACCCCAAAAGCCTTCTTGTTGCTCTACTCTACTGTAGCTGAGCTGGTACCTAAGGTGCAAGACAAAGTCCCCTTTATTTTTCCACCACTTCTCTTAAACAGAAGGAGTCTTTCACCATAGCCACCACAGCTGGGAATGTGTTCGGTCACACCTGAAGTCAGCAAATCTCCGAGCCCAAGGCCCGCAGTGTATTAGTTTGATACTGCTGCTGGTTATTCAGGGCCTGAGGGCTCTTTAGTCAACTGATGATAAATGCTGCCAGGTGTGGGTGCTTCTCTTCAATGCAGTGGATTCCTTTTTGGGCGCCAGGATATGCCTACAACTGTTGTCCATGAGTTAGGACCTCAAAACTCTGTCTGGTGCCCTATTTTCCTGTGGCTAAGCTGGTATTAGAAAAAAATATTTTGCAATCTATGCATTAGAAAAAAAGAATCACCTCTCCAACTCTTCATGGACGGACCTTATTATAGGAGAAAACCCGCATCAATCAGCCCAGCCACATCTTCTTGGGCCTCTCAAACTTTCATGGTCATCCAAACTGCTGTCTTTGTCTTAGGATCCCCCAGGCATGTAGCGCATGCAGGGTCTTATCAACACTTTTACACATTTGAGACAGAAGACAGTCCTTAGTCAACTCTTAGGAAAGTTTGAATATTTGGCATGCTGTCCAACTCTTTCCCTCCCCACAGAGAATTTGGAAGCTGAGGTTTCTTACCTCATCACTCTGCCTAAATCTAGGGGCAGGAGGAGCTGTGACAAGTGCCCATGTGCTAGTTTAAATCATCATTTTTGTGTTCTTTGTAGTACCAGGGGCCAAGTGTATGCCTAACACAAAGACAAGGAAGACAAAATACCTTTCCTTAAGTAGAATTCAGAAAAGATGAAATGTTATACGTGTGGTCCAAATCTTTGCTTCCCCATGGAAGAGCTAAAAGCTTGAATTTCGTTTCTGTTTTTGTCTGTTTTTGCCTGCTCACTCTGCACTAAGCTAGGGGGCAGGATCTGTGATAAATGTCCACATACTGGTTCATCTTTATTCTCTGTAGTTCCCAGGTGACTGGCATATGCTGGATCCTGTCAGCACTTTGAGGCAGATGAGATAGAAGCCAATCCATTAGGTAGCACTTGGAAAGGTTGAAATGTTGAATGTGCACTCCAACCCTTTCTCTCCCCAAGGATAAGCTGGGAGCATTTTTTTTTTTAATTTTATTTTACTTTAAGTTCTGGGATATATGTGCAGAATGTACAGGTCTGTTACATAAACATGTGCAATGGTGGTTTGCTGCGCCTATTAACCCATCACCTAGGTATTAAGCCCCACATGCATTAGCTATTTGTCCTGATGCTCTCCCTCCTTCTGTCCCCATGACAGGCCCTGGTGTGTGTTGTAGCCCTCTCTGTGTTTCTGTGTTCTAGTGTTCAGCTGCCACTTGTAAGTGAGAACATGCAGTGTTTGGTTTTCTGTACCATGTTAGTTTGCTGAGGATAATGGCTTTCAGCGTCATACATGTCCCTGCGAAGAACATGATCTCCTTCCTTTTTATGGCTGCATAGTATTCCGTGGTGTATATGTACCACATTTTCTTTATCCAATCTATCATTGATGGGTATTTGGGTTGGTTCCATGACTTTTGCTAATGTGAATAGTGCTGCAAGAAACATACCTGTGTATGTATCTTTATAATAGAATGATTTATATTCCTTTGGGTATATACCCAGTAAAGGGATTCCTGGATCAAATGGTATTTCTGGTTCTAGATCCTTGAGGAATTGCCACATGTTTTTTTGTTTTTTTTCTTTTTCTCTCACACATTCACTCTGTGTTAAGCCAGAGGGAAGAGCTGTGTCAAGTGTCCACGTGCCAGTTTAAACTGTTAGTTTTTCCCAATTGTATGGTACAATACTGAGGAGGAGAATGGCAAGAGGGTGTCTCCGATTATCTTACTGGTTTTTATGTATCTGGTTTTGTACTTTGCTGATGTATAGGAGTCTCTCAATTAGTTTCTGTATTTCTCACAAATGAAACTGATCTGAATATTACTGTTGAATCAGTATGTTCATGGAGAGAAGGGTATCTAGTGCTTCCTATTCTGGTATCTTGCTGATATTTCATGGATGCCTTCCCATTATTTAAACTGTATATTTTCTACCTACTAAAATAACTCATTTACACTCGAGATATAGCATTTACACATTACTCTTATACATACTTTAAGGGAAATATAGTTGAAATAAAATGGTTAAATGATCTCTAACATTTAGAGTCCAATATTTCTGGGTTACTCTTAAACTCAGATTTTCATTTTGCATAGTTTCTCATCCTCTGTGCTATCTGGAGAGTTGCAAATCAGGTTCCTGGGTGGTTAGGGTGGTGTGGATAGTGGTGTGGTGGTGGTGTTTATTGTCTCTCAGTATTTTTTGCCAGCTGCTTAAATTTTATTGCTGATGCTTTCTTGACCTCATCAGATGATTCCAGCATTGTCAGACAACAGTGAGGATTCATATTTCTTCCATGAATAGTTATTAAATCGTCTGAAGAGTTAAATGTCCAATGGTGACAGCTGTCCAGTCATGAAATCTGAAAAGCCACCATGTGCACACAAGCTCAGGCAATGTGAACAGTGTCATGACTGATTCCTGGACAACAGCAATTGCAAGATGTCATCAACCTAGTCTCAGAGATAACAAAACATGAAAAGAAGAAAATAGTGTTTTAGAATTGAAAGTAAACATATAGTTTACTTCCTTCATCTATGGAAGACTTCAATCATTATCATTATTTCCCAGAACCTACTGTATTTCAAAATGATTTTTGACTGGCTTCTTCTAACTGTTTCTCCTAGGCACTATCAGGATAACTCCTAAGGATTCTCGTTGGGTTGGAGCTTGGTGGCTTGGTTTCCTTGTGTCTGGACTATTTTCCATTACTTCTTCCATACCATTTTTTTTCTTGCCCCAAAATCCAAATAAACCACAAAAAGAAAGAAAAGTTTCACTCTCTTTGCATGTGCTGAAAACAAATGATGAAAGAAGTCAAACAGCTAATTTGACCAACCGAGGAAAAAAAGTTACAAAAAATGTGACTGGTAAGTATTTAACATTAATTGTCAACTTAGAATTGTTAATCTCAATGAAAGGGAGAAGTGAGTAAAAAATAAATAAATAAATAAAGCATACTCAAATCATCTACAGTTAGCTTTCTTCTCCACTAAATTTAGCTGAATTATTTTTTCTAAAACTCCTATTAAAATTAACAAGTATGTCTTGAGCACATAAAAAGGGGAAGAGGATTAGGTTTCTGCTGTTTAGAAGACAGAAACCAATCGAAGCTATTAACATCTGTTCCTTATAAGCCAAATAGTACATATTCATTTTAATATAATATAGTATAAACTGTGAGGGCTAAAAGGATTATAATATTTCATTCATTTATTTATTTAACAAATGATACCAGCCATCATACTATTCCCTGGTAATAGAACGTTGCCTTTATTTTTTGAGAACTTAGTGGATGATAATGAGAAGTATATAGATCATTGTAATAAAGTATCTTAAGTACTATGGCAGGTTATATTTAACTATTCTCAGGTGTAGAGATGAAATAAGGAGAAGGAAGTCAGGAGAGGAGTCTGTCTAGGTAATTAGAGCAAGATTATTTTTCTTGGTAATTAAAATTATATATATCTTATTAAATTAAATTAATGTATATATGAATTAAAAATGTATATATACACATATATAATCTTACTTAAGTATTCAAAAATGAAGTGAAAAGCAACATCAGTAATTAAGATATTTGGAGTCAATAATGTGAATTAGGATTCTTTAGCACTTGATAGTCGTAACTCTTTTGAATATAAGTCACATGGGCTAATGGTGAACCATTGAGAAGCAGTAATCAAGAGAATGATCTAGCAGCTGTCAGAGCAAGATATTTGAAATGGTAAGGTATTGACAGCAGTTTTCAGTTTTAGTTAGCAGTTTTAGGGAGAAATGGTGAAGCAGTAAAACCTGAAGCAGTGCAACCAACACCTAAACCCTTGGCACTTTTTCAGGTTTTCATTGAAGTAAGCTTACAACCTTTCCAAAGTAACCCATATTCTTTCTCTCATCAGTTCTTTCACTTACCTTTGTTGTTGTTGTTATTTTCTCCTCTCCACCACACTAACCCAAGAGCAATGGGATGCTGGAGCCTTGTATATTCACTCATTAGAGTGGATTCCTCAATTTCAGCTGCGTAGGTAGCTTTAAATTGTCCGTGGTAGGAGAATTTACCATCATGTGTTACCATGGAAATGGAAAAATATTACAAATCGGATTTGTTTCTCAATGAATCTGTTGTTAAATGTTTACCAGCACATCATTAATGAGTTTTTATAGTTTAACATGCATACTAAAAATAGCATATCAAGGATTTTTTATTTTGTCTATGCTATGTTTCTACTTTAATCCAATCCATAACAATTAATGATTTCTTTTCTTTTTTTTTTTTTTTTGAGACGGAGTCTCACTCTGTCACCCAGGCTGGAGTGCAGTGGCGTGATCTTGGGCCCACTGCAACCTCTGCCCCCTAGGTTCAAGCAATTCTCCTGCCTCAGCCTATAGAGTAGCTGAGACTACAGGCGCACGCCACCATTTCCAGCTAATTTTTTTGTATTTTAGTAAAGTCGGGGTTTCACCATGTTGCCCAGGCTGGTCTGGAACTCCTGAGCTGAGGCAATCCACCCACCTTGGCCTCCCAAAGTGCTGGGATTACAGGCGTGAGCCACCGCACCCGGCCAATTAATGGATTTTCTAAACCAATAAGGACCAGGGTTGACTGTGAGCCCAAAAAGAATAAAGAAGATAATAAGGTGCAAATAAAGGGGCAACTGTAAACATTGTCTATATTATGAGCTTTTTTTTTCTTTAAGGGTAGTGACGTGAATAGTAAAGTGAATTTTAATTAGGTGCCCATTAGGAATGGTTAAAATACTAAGTACCTATAGTCAGAAAAACAAATTAGATTTATTCTATACATTCTTGAGTAGAACTAAGACTAATTGATCAGAAGGCAAAGAAAATTTCAGTTTGTTACAAAGACAACATGTAAACAATGAGAATTCTTCAAAAGTTGAGCAAATTCCGCTGAGGTAGCGTAATGTCACTTGAGTTGTTTATTGATCCATTTTTTAATGGATCAACATATAGTGAGTTATGATTGTATGGAAGTTCAGCTTATGTGACATCCGAGTTCCTGTTTACCTCAAAACTTTAACAATTTGGTTAATCCACATGTTCCATTTATTTTGAGCAAAGGTCACAACTCTCTTAGAATGCCTCACAAATAGGTGGTGATTCTTCCTCACTGGGGAGACCTAAGGAGGGAAGTTTGGCGCTTTGTTTTAACAACTTTAAATATTTTTTATTCCTGCTATACATTTTCTTAACTCTTTTCTGTTCTGTGCCATTTCTCTGTCGTTCCTTATTATTATAATCAGAGGAAACAAAGTATTTATTTGTTACTCTTTGAAAGTACTGTCCATATCTAATGAAAATCTTTAAAGGTCTATGGAGAGCAAGATCTTTCACAGCCCATATCATCCATCTCTTAGTAACCATATCTCAGACTTTCTTGCTGTACTCTGAAACTTCCTGTTGTTCTAAATAGTTCCTTCCACTTTTATCTCATATTATGGCTGATGGAGTTGGCAATCACAGACCCAGATCACATAATTTCTGCCATGGACAGAAGTTAGAAGTTTGTTGCTGCACCTACTTGTAGGCATAGGTTGTTGTACTATTACTGTCATAATGTCACTTGAGATCAACATCGTTATCCCCTGCCTCACCTTCTTGCATCTTACTATAAGGAATTTATAATACTGCCAGATATATTGAGGCAGTATTTGATGGTACACAAGCTATATACCAGGAAAAAAAGAGGTCTGAGCCCTCATACTAATGTTTTCTGTAAAATTTTTTGATGTTAGTGCTCTTATTTCTGTGTCTTAGATTATACTATCTTTACTTTAAATTTATATTTAACAATTACAGTTTTAAAATAATTATGTTAAATGCTAATAAATAAGGGACATCACATTTCCTCCCTCCCTCCCCCCTCCTTCCCTCCCTCCTTCCCCCTCCCTCCCTCCGTCCCTCCCTCCCTCCCTTCCTTCCTTCCTTCCTTCCTTTTTTTTGTGACAGGGTCTGTCCCTGTCTCTCAGGATGGAGTGTAGTGGTATGAATATGGCTCACTGCAGCCTCAACCTCCCTGTCTCACACGATCCTCCCACCTCAGCCCCCCAAGTAACTGGGACTACATGCATGCCCCACCATGCTCAGTTAATTTGTGTATTTTCTGTAGAGAGGGGATTTCATCATGTTGCCCAGTCTGGTCTGTAACCCCTGGGCTCAGGCGATCTGCACGCCTCAGCCTCCCAAAGTACTCGGATTACAGGCGTGAGCCACTGCACCTGGTGAACATCACATTTCTGATTCACTTTTTTTTTGTTTCTTGGACACTAAGCATATTGCCTGGTACCCAATTGAAAACCAAACATTTGTTGAATAAATGAATAGGTGAATTAGTCTATATCTAATAGTATGGTAAAGTGCCAAAGATAACCAAATATTAAGTGAACAAAGCAAGTTAAAAAATACCATTTAAGTATCATTCTATTTGAGGTTAAAATGAAGGAAAGAAATAAATAATAATATACATATGGAAAATACTGAAGGAATATATTAAAAACTTGACAGTAGGATTGCAGGGTACTGTCTCTGTGTTATGTCTTTTGTAACTTTAAGTCTTATATAACTTATATTGATAAAATTCAGATATGAGTATATATTTTATTATTGAAATATCTTATTTTTATAACTCTATAGGTTTTTTCCAGTCTTTGAAAAGCCTCCTTACCAATCCCCTGTATGTTATGTTCGTGCTTTTGACATTGTTACAAATAAGCAGCTTTATCGGTTCTTTTACTTACATCTTTAAATATATGGAGCAACAGTATGGTCAGTCTGCATCTCAGGCTAACTTTTTGCTGGGTAAGACATATTTTTTACCTGTTTGCTTGATAAATGAAACACTACTGAGTACTTGGTGTTCCAAGTCACATTTTATTATGAAGGTGATTTTATATTTTACTAAATATAATCTTATTATCTCTCAAACTTTACAAAATTTCTCCATCTTGTGATATTGTCGTTGTTCTGCATTTGAGGTTGCATCTCATGTTAGGTGAATTTAATTCTATAGGTGAAATTGTAAAGAAAAAAAATTGCTTGTGAATAAAACATTTAGATGTGGTATCTGCATAATTGGATCTTATAGTACTGAGATCCTAAGACAAACCCTTTTATAATATAACCCTTATAATCCTATAATTCATGGACTGAAATAAGGCCTCAGCTACTTATAAAACACATCATATTAATGTTTTCAGAAGGAGAATCAATTTAAATACATTACAAAATATGCATGATTCAAAACAAATATCATATTTTAGAGAGGGTTTTTTTTTTTTTTTTGCTACAATACCTATTTTCAAAGTCATATTGAGACCTTCTCCTTAAGGAAATTTTATCTTATATCACTTTTCTCACAACTCCAGTATTGTAGAAATCTTGTAGAAATTTGATAAATATTTGATGAGTTAAACAATGTATCAAATGGTAGGTATCTAGGTCATATGTACATAGGAAAGTAATAATTAGAAAATCTATATACTGAAGCATTGGAACAGGCTTCTGGATGATCTCCCTGTTGAACTGACAGGTTTAAACTGAAAGATTAAGTTTTGACTCGCAATAACCTCGCTTGAATTTTTTGTTAGAGGAATCTTCACCTGTAATAACACTTACAGGACCGTGAAATGGAAAAGTTGTAAGAGGGATCAATCATTTTTAATCCTGTATGTAGACATTTTTTATCATATCAGGGTATATATGTGTTTTATGAATAATAAAGAGATTAGTTCAAGAATTTAATTCTAAAGCCTTGGGCAAAATTGGAGTGAGTTATTGAGGATTGAAACTCTGTTTTGAGAGATGTAAAGGATTTTAGGTGGTAGGATAGAAATCTCAGAGGAAGAAAGATTTTGTTTGTTGTTGTTGATTGCCAAAAAAAAAAAGAAAGAAAGCTCCTCATAGAAATAACCATTTTAGACACATAAATATTCTTAGCCACTGCCTTTTGCTCGTGAGGAAGCCAACCCCTCATAATTGGCCAAAATAAATTATTTTTGTCTCTCATATGGTATACTTGTCCCTTACCTCCACCCTAGTGTGCCACCCTTCTCTTTTTTATTTTTTTGGAGATGAGTCTCGCTCTGTCGCCCGGGCTGGAGTGCAGTGGCCGGATCGCAGCTCACTGCAAACTCCGCCTTCCGGCTTCGCCACCCTTCTCTTAAAGAAATAAGAAAGGGTGAATTTGGTTGATATACACTGTATTCTATAAATAAAGACATATCAGAAAAACCATATTCATATAATGATAGCTTTTTTCTCTTCTTTTATTTCTAGGAGTCATAACCATTCCTACGATTGCAACTGGAATGTTTTTAGGAGGATATATCATTAAAAAATTCAAATTGTCTTTAGTTGGAATTGCCAAATTTTCACTTCTTACTTCGATAATATCCTTCTTGTTTCAACTTATTTATTTCCCTCTAATCTGTGAAAGCAAATCAGTTGCCGGCCTAACCTTGACCTATGATGGGTTTGTATATATTGCTATATAAATTGTGTGATATGTTAACCATCGAATTAAAAGATTATGTGCAAGTAAAATAGGGTAGAAAACAATTGTAATTAAACTTTATTTTAATTGAGAGAAATTTCAATTTTCAAATTCTTAAAATGTTCATTTCTTAAGATAATAAAAATTTGTTTTATTCCTTAAGAAAAAGCTACATAGGTTGAAATAATAACACTTATAATTTGTGGGTAATTAAAATGAGTGGTGGACACTTTTACCCCAGTTTTATAGATGTAAAAGTAAGATTTAGAGAAATACACACATTGTATGGCTAGCAATGTTAAGATTAAGACACAAATTTGAGATATTAGAGGTATCAGATGTCATTAAATCAAATTATTCATAATGTATTTTCTAAATTAACAATCTACTTATTTTTCTTAATTTAAATTATATACTCATTTGAAGATATTTCATAAATCCTCAATAATTATCATATCTTTACAAAACAAATAACTTGAAATCTTTAAGCTTAAACATTATACAAATAACATATTTTATAATTTTAGTCAAAATATAAAATTATATCTTGTAATTTATAATTATATTATAAAGTAAATCAGTATAAACAATATTATAGTTTTATTCAAAAAATATACAGTTTTTTAAATCCTTTTTCAACTGATTCTATTATTTTTTATTCCTCAGAGGTTCGGCTTTAACCACATCGAATTCTTTTTTTATGTAGTTAAAATACAGATTGCAAAATTCAACAATGTTAACTAACATGCGTAGATTCAGAGAATTTTAAAGTAAGCTGAGAGGAACATCAATCTAATGCCATTACCTCCCCGAAGAGAAAGTGAATCTCAGAAAAATGAAGTTACTTATCTAATGTAAAATTTCTTTGATAGAATGATAAAGACCTCTTGTCTAAGTCTTATCTAACCTCTTTTATTTCTTTTTTAAGTTTTACTTTTTCTAGGTCATAAGTCATGTCTTGGTAAAGAAGGAGAGTTAAAAGTCAATAAGCATTACAAAAATTGCCATTTTGACGTCAGCAAATCAGATTTCTCTGATTAAAGGAAAACCCCTTCTCTTATTTCTCTTCTTTTCCCCTTCTCTTCCTCCTCCTCTATTTCCCCTCTCCTTATCCCCTTGTCTCTCTCTTCTCTTCCTTCTCTACTTCCTCTTTCTCTTTTTTTCATATATTTCTATCATATATTTTCAGAAATAATTCAGTGGCATCTCATATAGATGTACCACTTTCTTATTGCAACTCAGAGTGCAATTGTGATGAAAGTCAATGGGAACCAGTCTGTGGGAACAATGGAATAACTTACCTGTCACCTTGTCTAGCAGGATGCAAATCCTTAAGTGGTATTAAGAAGTCTACAGTGAGTATTAGTTTTTGCTTTTTCTCCTCTCCTTAATTAAAATCACAGATTTAATAATTACTTATCAAATCTTCCTGTAACTAAGGTCTCCAATAAAAAGATAAAAGAAAAAGATTCCAGTGTTATCTGTCCTCATGATAGCTGTGAATTATAAACAAAGCTTCATATAAAACTCTGCTTAGGACACAATCAGACTTCTCTGTTACTTGATTTCTAATTAGAGATTACCCACTTTTTTTCTTGAGATTTTAAGAATATGACCTGTTAGAATTTGAATGCATTTAGGGTATCTAAGAAGTCTCTCATTTGACTAAAGCACATGATTTTTATTAATTTGGAATCACTTTACCCTTTGGAAGTTAGGGGAAAGTTCAGAATTAGCCAGTTGTCAGCATTACCCACTTTATGAGGACAACGATCTATTTGCATTTTAATATATACAAATCCTGATAAGTTTAGCTAGGGACTCACTGTGGCCTTGGACTTTCTAAGAAATTAATCAAGGCTTCATGTTTACACGATTTCCCTATTCTTGATTTCCTATTTTGATGTTCCCAAAGCTGGCACTTCTTTTACTCAGTATAATTTAGTATCCTGCTCACTGATTGCCAACATATCCGTTGGAAATTCCATTTCTGTCTTAACTCAAAGGCGCTTTTTTTTTTCCATGTGACACATGGATTTTTCCCAATATCCTGGGTAACTCCCAGTGATTGGAAATTAGGTATGCTGTTCCCCATACCTACAATCAATTCAACATCTCACAAAGTTGCATAACTGTTTTTCAGGCCCTTTCCCTATTACCAACATTAGCAACATAGTCAGCTGTGATTATGACTCTCTACCACACTCTTCCATGCTTCAATTCTAAACATTTTCTATCTTTCCCTTGCCCAATGTCCTACCAATTAAATGGCATGGAGAAATTTGAAGAATAAAGCATCCTAGTTTCCTTGAAGATAGGCTACAACTTTAATAAACTTGCACATATGTGGCCCAAAGACTATACTTAAAAGCTCACATCTCATATTCATCAGTTATAGTACCTTTCAGTAAGGGTGCCCCATTTAATCCCTGGTCGCACGTTGTCCAGTAGTGAAGACCTGAAAGATACATGATGTTAGTATCCTAAAGAGAGCTCTGTCTACGTGGAGACATCATCTTAATAGTGACAATGGCTATACCGTGGGGGGGCTACTGCAAAGTTCCTTTACTAAATCCTCAGTAAAATTGTTAAAATAATGCTCTCTGTATCAAAGTTTGGTTTCATTGGCCAATGTGCTTGCTCCATAAAAGATTCCTCCATATTATTCCTATTGAAAAAAAAAAAAGGTAAAAGGAATTTTTCTTGAACCATACAAGTATGGATTTAAATTCTTTTTTTCTTTTTCTTTTTCTTTCCCTTTTTTTTTTTTTTTTTTTTTGAAATGGAGTCTCGCCTTGTCATCCAGGCTGGAGTGCAATGGCACGGTCTCGGCTCACTGCAACCTCCACCTCCTGGGTTTAAGTGATTCTCCTGCCTCAGCCTCCCAAGTAGCTGGGATTACAGGTGTGCACCACCACATCTGGCTAATTTTTTTGTATCTTTAGTAGAGACGGGGTTTCACCATGTTGACCAGACTGGTCTCTTAACTCTTGACCTCATGATCCGCCTGCCTCAGCCTCCCAAAGTGCTGGGATTACAGGTGTGAGTGACTGCACCCGGTCAATTCTTTTACAAGTTCTCCTTCAGTAAATAGTCTTTAGCAGTAGTAGGTTCAAGATGAACTTAAATCTTTAGTGTAGAATCAGAGCAGAATTTATTAAAGCCACCTAACAACATACACTGCCTACCTGATGAAATCTCTAAAATCACTTGTTCCTAATATTCCTGTTCTATATACTCTAACCATTAGCCAGGACATTCTTTTGTGTTAAATCTTTCTAGTAATAATATAATATATTTTATTACCTGTCATTATGGTCTTGAATGTTGCTTTTGCCTTCTTAAGTAGAATTCTGGCACCCGTGCCTGGCTCTATTTCCCCTGCACTCTGTCCCATTTTCATGAGTGGCTAGATTTTGTCCCTTTTCAAACTGCTATATTTTCTGGATTATTTGGTAGTTCTTTCCCGGAGTAAGTCACTAATACTTAGATCCTGTCAAAGAGAGTAAGAATGTGTATTTTAGAAGGTAAATATGGGTGGAAGAGAAATATTTTAAACACTGTATATTAATGAAAAAATTATATACAGAATTTCATACACTAATTTCTTAACTTCCTAAATTCAGGAAGCTATTTTGCCTTTCAGTATTAAGCAACTATATTTTTATAACATTTTTTAAACTGTAAATATTTTAGTTTGAGACTTCCTTAAATATAATGGAATGTATTCATAGCCCTGTTGTATTTGGCAAATGTGTTTGGTAATATTTCAAAAACTATTTTTAGGTGTTTTATAACTGTAGCTGTGTGGAAGTAACTGGTCTCCAGAACAGAAATTACTCAGCGCACTTGGGTGAATGCCCAAGAGATGATGCCTGTACAAGGAAATTTTACATCTATGTTGCAATTCAAGTCATAAACTCTTGGTTCTCTGCAACAGGAGGTACCGTATGTATCTTGCTGATTGTGAAGTAAGTATGACGCTTTGAAACATTGTCACATATATTAGACTAAAACACACCTAATGATAGGCATATTTTTACGTATTTTGCGCTCAAATTCATATTTTGTTAATTTTTAATTCTTTGAGAATGCATTTTCTTAGAATTATTTTGATCTTTCAATGCCATCATTAATAATTTTTGTTTCCAATACTTCCATTGTCAAATTTGGCTCTATACTTTCTTCTCTTAATAAAAATCTTAAGGCACACACTGATTGACAATTGTCTCGATAGTGGAAGGATCTTTGTGTGATTGTAAAAGAACTTTTAATTTTGAGTTGCGTTGCATCCTAATGAGCCAGTGAGAGTAAATCATCTGTTGATTTCATTGAAGAAAACATTTAGCAACCAGGTATAAATATAAACTTCAATTTGTAATGAAATTCTAATGCTTTCAGTTCACCCACAGCATGGCTGTTGACCTGGTATCTCACAATACCCTTGTAGACATAAGAAAAATATGTGTAAATAATTCATTCCTTTTTTCACTTATTAGACAATTTTTTAGACAGGATATGATGAATATTTCTTAGTAAGTAAAACCAATAAGGTACCTGTTGTCTCACAGCTTAGAAAATGACAAGACTGATGTGAGACAAATAAGTATAAAAATAAACACATAATTACACATTGCTCTTTGTCTTAATAAGGGAAAAGACTTCCAATTAAAGGAATAAAAAGAGACATTAAATTTAGGATTAAAGTAAGGGGATGTGATGGGAAAGATTCACAGAGTACATCTCAAAAGAAGTGACATTATATCTAAGGAGGTAAAGAAAAAGCCAAATGAAGGGCTTTCAGGGAGAGGGTCTAGGTCTTCTTTCCTTAAGACAGGAAAGAGCTAGAATTTTTGAGGAATGAAAAGAAGCCAGTTTATAGGAACACACTGAGTGAGAGGGTATGGCAGATGATGTTTGGAGAGTTAGCCGGGAAGCAGATAATGTGTGCCCTACTGGCCAGGATAAGCACTCAATCACCTAAAACTGGAAACATGTAAAGACATGCATGTAGATCTTAAAAATATACGTGATAAGTAGAGTGACCTGGGGTAACATTTAATTGTACTTTTAAAACCTACTAGTTGATCATACGTTCACGGCCAGTCAACAGCACGACATGGTAGAAAAAAAAAAAGTAGGCTGGGCACGGTGACTCACGCCTGTAATCCCAGTACTTTGGGAGGCCGAGGCAGGTGGATCACGAGGTCAGGAGATCGAGACCATACTGGCTAACACAGTGAAACCCCGTCTCTACTAAAAATACAAAAAAAAAATTAGACGGGCGTGGTGGCGGGCGCCTGTAGTCCCAGCTACTCGAGAGGCTGAGGCAGGAGAATGGTGAGAACTTGGGAGGCGGAGCTTGCAGTGAGCTGAGATCGCGCCACTGCACTCCAGCCTGGGCCACAGAGCCAGACTCCGTCTCAAAAAAAAAAAAAAAAAAAAAAAAGCAACCAACAATGTGTTTTAACTTTTGTTAACATGAATATAAACCTGTAAACTAAGTAAGTTTGCAGTTGTTATATTTTCACCCTGCCTGCAAATTGTATTAAAATCCGTACCGTAAATATTCCATAAGTATAGCTTCATCTTAATATAAAATGTCTATTCAGAAGAAGCCTTCTATATTTCCAAATTACAAATTCATTAACTTATAAAAATTCACCTCAAAATTTCATACTAGTTTACATCTCAGCATGTTTTAGCTTCTTAATTGAAACCTTTTCATGAGAAAAGGAGAGTTTTAAAAACATTGTTCCATTCTTGAATATAGTTATGCTTTATCCGATTAAAAAGTGATTAAATCAACATTACCACTTATCAAAGCATTTATTAATTTCTCACCAGCCTTTGATTTACTTTGTATTTATTTATTTTTTTTAAGAAAAGTTTTCTAAAGCTGACTAGAGAATGAAAATATAAACTTCATTTTATTAAGGCTATTGCTAAAACTAGACTGAGCAGGAGTGTAAACATTTACTCATCCAGTACATATTCATTATGTGTGTCAGCCACAGATCCATGCACTGAAGATGCAAATGTGAATGAAAATGATAAAACTTCATTAGCATCCAGTGGGGATAGGGAATGGAGAGTGAATGTATACAGAAGAACTAATAAACAAATAAGCAACTAAATATGTAAACCAGGGTAAATGTGAAGCACTAGAAAGAAAAATAAATCAGAGTCAGAAGATAGAAAAAGTGGGGTAGGTAAGAGACACTAGTTCAGATATTGTGCATTGAAAGTTATATGACAAGAGACCTAAATGAAGACATGAAGAGAGAAGCTACAAGCCATGCTAAATGAGGACAGGAAAGGAACAAGCTAGGCAAAGTAGAGCAAAGACAAAGGCCCTTGTGTGGAGCATACTTGATACATACAAGTTAGAAAAAAGTGTGTGAGGAAGAGAGAGGTATGAAGTACAATGACAGAGCTAGCGTGGTCCAGATTATATTGTTCAGAGGAAAGGCTTTGGAGCTTATTCTAAGTGTGTTCAGAAGCCCCAGAGGGTTTAAGCATTAGTGTTACCTAATGCTTATGGCTTACCTAATGAGAATATCACTCTGACTGTGCATGGCATGTGTTTTTGGAAGACAAGAATGAAATCAGGGAAAACAGAAGGCTATGATCATTCTTCACGATGAGGTATTATTGAGCATGGTTATGATAAAGGAAGTGGGAAGATATTTGTGCTTCATTCTTTGTTTTGTTTCATTTTCTAAGGCAAAGCCACTATGATTTGCTTGTTGATTGAATGTGGCATGTGAGAAAGGTAATTTAAGGACGATCCCAAGGTTCTGGCTTGAGCTCTGGAAAGATGGTGACACTATTGAACAAAAGGGGAAATACAAAGGAAGGGTAGTTTGGAGGAAGTGTAAAAGCAAGATTTCTTATATCCCTGTAAAACTGAGCTGCCTGTTAGGTATCTACCAACAATGAATATGTAGAATCTACCATTTAGGAAAATCATTAAAGCCATAGACACAAATCTTAGAGTTTGCAACATAAACAGATGCTATTTAAATCCAGTGGCATAGTGAGATGTTCTAGGGCCTGGGTACAGATAGAAACTGCATCCTAGGAACAGCAACAGGCCCTCTAACTTTAGAGATTAATAATAGAAGGAGAAGACACTGAAGGAAACTGAGGAGGTCCCATAAGTTATGAGGGAAACTGGGAAAGGATCATGTCCTTGAAGCACAGTGAAGAATATATGAAGAAGTAATGAATAAAGAAACTATGTCAAGGCCTGCTGAGAGTTCATAGGAGTTAGGGACTAGAAAGTAACCATTGGATTTCATTATATGCTCATCACTGTTAACCTAAACAAAACTAGTGCATGAAGATGGGAGGTGAAACAAAAAGGTGGTTTTGGTTGTTTTAAATTTTTTCATTTTTATGGATTTAGAGATACAAGTACAGTTGTGAAACATGGATTATATGAGGCAGTGGTAAAGTCCGGGGTTTAATGTTCCCATCACCTGAATAGTGTACTTTATATTCAGTAGGTAGTATTTCTTCCCTCCCACTCCCTTCCAACCTCCCACACTTTAGAGTCTCCAATGTCTGTTATTCCACTCTGTACATCCTTGTGTGCCCATTGTTTAGCTCCCACATCAAAGAAAGTGCATGCATTTTTTACTTTCTGTCTCTGATTTATTTCACTCAGGATAATGGCATCCATTTCTATCCACGTTGCTATAAAAAGACATGATTTCATTTTTTTTTTTTATTGCTGACTAGTATCCCATAGTATATACATATATACCAATGTTTTAATCTAATTATCAGTGAATGGAAATTTAGCGATTAGTGATTCCATGACTTTGCTTTGTCACTAGTGCTGTGATAAGCATACAAGTCAGGAGGTGTCTTTTTAATAAAATGATTTCTTTGTCTTTAGGTAGACACCCTGTGGTGGGATTGCTGGATTAAATGATAGTTCAATTTTTAGGTCATCAGGAAATCTCTGTACTGTTTTCCATAGAGGTTATACTAATTAACATTCTCACCAACAGTGTATAAGCATTCACTTTTCTTCTCATCTTCACCAACATCTCTTGACTTTCGACTTTGTATTAATAGCTATCCTGATGAGTATAAGATGATATCTCATTATGGTTTTAATTTTCATTTCTCTGATGATTAGTGATGTTGGGCATTTTTATATATTTATTGGCCATTTGTATGTCTTCTTTTGAAAAATGTCTATTCATATCCTTTACCCACTTTTTAATGAGATTTTTTTCTTTTTTTTTTTTTCATTGAGTTGTTTGAGTTCCTGGTAGATTTTGGATATTAACCCTTTTTCAGGTGCATTGTTTGTAAATATTTTCTCCCATTCTGTGGGTTGTCTGTGTACTCTGTTGATTATTACTCTTTTTTACTGAACAAAAATTTTGTAGTTTAAGTAAGTTCCATTGATATATTATTTTGTTGCATTTCCTTTTAAGGATGTAGTCATAAATTCTTTGCCTAGACCATTGTCCATAAAAGATTTTCCTAGGTTTTCCCCCAGGATTTTTATAGTTTCAGGCCTTACAATTAAGTCTTTAAACTATCTTTTTTTTTTTTTTTTTTTTTTTTTGAGATGGAGTCTGCTCTGTTGCCCAGGCTGGAGTGCAGTGATGCGATCTCGGCTCACTGCAACTCTGCCTCCTGGGTTCACACCATTCTCCTGCCTCAGCCTCCCGAGTAGCTGGGACTACAGGTACCTGCCATCATGCCTGGCTAATTTTTTCCATTTTTAGTGGAGATGGGGTTTCACCATGTTATCCAGGATGGTCTCGATCTCCTGACCTCGCAATCCACCTGCCTCAGCCTCCCAAAGTGCTGGGATTTTTAATCCATTTTGAGTTAATTTTTATATATGATGAGAGATATGGGTTCAATTTTATGTCTGTATATATGGTTCTCCAATTTTCCCAGCACCATTTCCTCACTGTATATATGTTTGTTACTTTGTCAAAAATCAGTATGTTGTAGATATGTGACTTTATTTCTGGCTTCTCTATTCTGTTCCATTGATCTATGTGTCTATTTTTATACTAATACCATTTTATTTTGGCTTATAGACTTGTAGTATAATTTGAAATCAGGTAATGTGACAACTTCAGCTTTATTTTTTTGCTTAGGATGAATTTGCTAGTCAGACTCTTTTGATTCCATATGAATTTTAGGATTTACATAGGTAATTTAATATAATTGTGTTGAATCTGTAGATTGCTTTGGGCTGGATAGTCATTTTACACAATATTTATTATTCCAATTCATGAACATGAGATGTTTTTCTATTTTTTAATGCCATATATAACTTTTTTCATCAGTGTTTTGTAGTTCTCCTCATAAAGACTTTTTTACCTATTATTTTAAATGTTTTCCCATTTTTTGTATCTATTGTAAATGGGATTCAGTTGTTGATTTGGTTTTGAGCTTGATCATTACTGGTGTATGGAAATGCTACTGATTTTTGTACATCGGTTTTGTACCCTGAAACTTTACTGAAGTAGTTTATCAAGTCTAAGAGACTTTCAGAGGAGTTTTAGGGTTTTCTAAGTGTAAGATTATATCATAAGTGAACAGGAATAATTCAAATTCTTCTTTTCCCATTTGGAGACCTTTTATTCCTTTGTCTTGCCTTATTGCTCCTGATAGGACTTCCAATACTGTGTTGAATAGGAGTGGTGAAAATGGGCATCCTCATCTTGGATCCATTCTTAGAAGTAATGCTTACAATTTTCCCCCATTTGGTATGTTACTGATGGTGGTTTGTCATATATATGATTTTTATTATTTTAAAGTATTTTTCTTCTATGCCTAGTTTGGTAAGTGTTTTTATCATAAGGGGATGCTGGATTTTATCAAATTTTTTTTCCTGCATCAATTGATTTTATCATATGTTTTTTGAAAAAAGAAATTTCTGTTAATTTTGTAAATCACATTTTTTGATTCACATATATTGAACCATCCTTGCATTTCAGGAAAAAGTCCACTTTTCATTATGATGAACATTTTGATGTGCTGCTGAATTTTATTTTCCAGAGTTTTTTGGTTTTTTTTTTTTTGTTTTGTGTTTTGAGGGTATTTGGATCTATGTTCATCAGGGATATTGATGTGTAGTTTTCTCTTTTATTTTTCATGTACTTGCCTGCCTTTGGTATCAGCATGATGCTAACTTCATAGGATTAGTTGAAGAGGATTCCTTCCCCCTTGATTTTTTGAAATAGTTTTAGTAGAATTGGTATTATTTCTTCCTTTTTGGTCTTGCAGAATCTGACAATAATTTTCTCTGGTCCTGCACTTTTTGTTGTTGTTGTAAGGAGATTTTTTTTTTTTATTATTACTAATTCAATTTAATTACTCATTATTGGTCTGTTAAGGATTTCTATTTCTTCCCGGTTCAAACTTGTGAAGTTGTATATTTCCAGGAATTTATCAGTTTTCTCTAGGTTTTCTGGTTTGTGTATGTACAGATGGCCATAGTAGTCTCTGATGATATTTTATATTTCTGTGGTAATAGTTTTAATGACACCATTAATATTTCTGATTGTACTTATTTGAATCTTCTTTCTTTTTTTGGTTAATCTACTAGTAGTCTGTCTATCTTACTTATATTTTCAAATAACAACTTTTTATTTCACAGATCCTTTGCATTTTTTTTGCCCAAATTTCAGTTAGATTTGTTCTTTAATATTTACTATATTCTGCTAGCTTGGGGTGCAGTTTATTCTTGTTTTACTAGTTCTGTGAGGCATGACATTTGATTGTTAATTTGATATCTTTCTATCTTTTTGTTGTAGGCATTTAATTCTAAAAACTTCCCTGTTGGCATTGACTTGTTGTATCTCAGAGGTTTTGGTATGTTGTTTCTTTATTTTCATTTGTTTCAATTTCTTAATTTTGTTTGTTTTTTTGAGACAGAATCTCACTCTGTCACTCAGGATGGAGTGAAATGGTGTAATCTTGGCTCACTGCCACCTCTACCTCTTGGGTTCAAGCAATTCTCCTGCCTCAGTCTCTTTAGCAGCTGGGATTAAAGACATGTGCCACCACACCCAGCTAATTTTTTTCATTTGTAGTAGAGGTGGGGTTTCACCATTTTAGCCATGCTGGTCTCAAACTCCTGACCTTAAGTGAGCCACTACACCCAGCGTCATTTCAATTTTTTTTAAAGAAATTCTGCCTTGCTTTCATCATTGACCAAATAATTGTTCAGGAACAGGTTATTTAATCTTCATGTATTTCTATAGTGTTGAGAATTCTAGGAACTAATTTCTATCTTTATTCCACTGTATATTCCACTGTATTCTGAAATGGAACTTGATATTATTTTGATTTAAAAAAATCATTGAGTATTGCCTTTAGGCATGGTATATGGTCAATTTTTGAAAATGTTTCATGTGTGCATGAGAAGAATGTATATTCTGAGGTGGTAGGGTAAAATGTTCTGTAAATGTTTGTCAGGTCCATTGGGTCTAATGTCCATTGTAAAAGTTTCTTTGTTGATTTTTGGCTGCCATTATCTGCCTAATGTTGTCAGTGGGTTATTAAAAGACCCCACTAATATTGTATTGCTATCTATTTTGTTTTCCTTAGGTCCAGTAGTGTTTGTTTTATGAATTAGGGTGCTCCAGTGTTGGGTGCATATGTTTCAAATTGTCATATCTTCTTAACTGATCCTTTATTATAGTAACCTTCTTTGTCATTATTTATGGTTTTTGGTTTGATATTTGTTTTATCTAATCCAAGTATAACTACTTCTGCTCAGATTTGGTTTGTATTTTCATAGAATATCTTCTTGCACCCCTTTGCTTTGAGTCTGAAAAGGTCTTTACAAGTTACTTGAGTTAGGTGGGTTTCTTGTATGTAGCATATAGTTGACTTTTTAAAAATTCATTCTGCTAGACTATATTTTTTAAGAGGAGTGTTCAGTCTATTTATATTTAAGGTCAGTATTAATTTTTGAGGGTTGTTTCTGTAATATTGTGAATTATTTCTTAATTTGCTTTGCAGTCTCAATTAGGTAATTTTAAAATGAGATCTGTAAGGTTTATACTTTGTATGTTTCCATAATGATAAGTATTGCTCTTTTATTTCTATATGTTAGAACTCCTTCAAGTCTTTCTTGTAGAGTCAGTCTGTTTGTGACAAATTCCCTTAGTGTTTGCTTATTTGGGAAGTACTGTTTTTCTTCTTGAATTATGAGTCTTAGTTGAGCAGGATACAAAATTCTTGGTTGTCATTTTTTTTTTTTCTTTAAGAGACTGATAATAAGACCCTAATTTCTTTTGGCTTGTAAGATTCCTGATGAGAAGTCTGCTGTTAGTCTAATGGGATTCTCTTAACAGGTAATTAGATAATTCTCTATTGCCATGTTTAAGATTTTTAAATTTATGTTGACTTTTAGTAGTCTGATGACTGTATGTCTTGTGCAGGTTATTCTTGCAATGCATCTCTTAGGAATCACCTGAGCTTTTTATATTTGGATGTCTAGATCTGTAGTAAGTCAGGGAAGTTTTTCTGAGTTATTCTTTCAAACAAGTTTCCCACACTTTTACTTTTTCTTCTCCCTCTGGAACATCCATGATTCATAAATTTGGATGTAATACATAATCCCATATATCTTGAAGGCTCTGTTAGGTTTTTCAATTCATTTTTCTATGTATTCTTCCTACCGAGTTTATTTGAAAGACCTGTCTTCTAGCTCTGAAATTGTTTATTCTGCTTGGTCTGGCCTATTCTTAAAGCTTTCAAAGGTACTTTGCAGTCCCCTTCAATACATTTTTTTATTTTCAGAAGTTGTATCTACTTTTCTTAGTAAACTCTATCTCTTCTTTTATACCCTGTATTATGTTTCTCATTTATTTTTGATAATTTTTAACTTTCTTTTGGATCTCAAGCTTTACATAATCCTATATTACTTGAAGTTCTTATTTCATAAAGACTTCTTTAGAATCAATATTTTGGATTCTTTATCAACATATCAGAGATTTTATTTAGGTTTGGATTCATTGCTCAAGAGTCACTGTGGTCCTTTGGACCTTTAACATTCTACCTTCTTTATACTTAAAGAATTCTTTCTCTGGTTCTTTCTAACTTAGATAAGCTATCTCTCCTTATTTTGAATTTATTTTGTTTGAATTCATTTTTTTCCATTTGAAAATGTGGCTATAATGTGTGTTGTGTAGGATCTAACAGGCTATATTGAAGAGGATCAAGAGAAAATTCTAGAAAGGGAAGTGCAACAGTCAGCACGGAAAGTTATTTTCAGGAGTAGTGTTATAAAAGAAGCTGACAAAAGGTGTGGTTGTTAGCAAAGTTGTGGGGTAAAATTTCTGTTTATGTTCAATTCTAGACATAATAGCATGCTGACATACTGATGAGAATCATCAGTAGAGATGAAGGAAACTGACAATGCAGAAAAGAGGGAAAGCAATTACAGAGGAAGGTGAAAAGAGATTAACCAAGATACAGAGTTTTTCTTTGTACAAAAAGGGAAATTGTCTATGTGGGTAAAAGACAGGTAAATGTGTACCTGTAGTGATGAAGAATATTGAACTTTTTTCTGCTGTTTCTACTTTCTTTGTTATAAAAAAGGAATGTAATCAGATGAGAAAGAGGAGGAAGAAAAGAAAGAGTCTTTAGATCAGAAAATGTGAACTAGAAATCTTGAAGATTAAAGAAACATACTGACAGGGAAAATGGACTAGTAGGCTATTGGACAATTGCCCTGGAGGCCTCCTGAAGGTCTGTGCCTATGAATTTAAAGTGAATACGGTCAGATGTGTGAATTATTTCCTTCAGGGATGAAACTCTTTGTATATAGGTTCAGAGAAGGCAGAGGATTAGATGAAAGCATTTTTACTTGTCTAGTACAGTAAAGGATGAGATGAACAAAAATGTACAGAATATATGCAGAAGAATGATTTATAACATGATTATAAACATCATGATGAGAAAGGAAGTGAAGTGGTAAAACTAGAGATGGCCTGTGAAGAGATCAGGGGAATCATAGCCTAAAGAGCTAGGGCTACAGCTTCTTGTAACAGATACGTGAAAGGGAGTAAATTTAAAATGTAGGAGGTGGTTATAAGGACTAGGATGGCCAAAATGGAGAATTTTAAAAATGGATACTGATGAACTGACTGTGGGTGGAAGAAATAAGACTTTCCAGAAAAGTGACCAAGAAACTGAAAGGCCATACCATTGGGAGCATAATCTATATCATCTATATTTCCTAAAATAACTAGGAAAAACGACAGAAATAATTTTCACAAAAATTACAGGGAGTCTAGAATGAAAATTGTCAAGAAATGATGAGAGTTGTGATGTGCCAGTCTATAGTTAACTTCAACAAGGAGGTTAGAGAATAGTATGGTAAGGTGGTGCACCTCTTCCTGGAACCTAGAGGTCTTTCAGAGGAAAGACTCAGATCTGGAAGTGGTAAAAATGAAAGATCAATAAGAACTTCTACATGTCAGGCCCATTGATATGGAGGTTGTGGAAGGAAAACAGTCCTACATGAGAGAGTTACATGGAGCGTCATTGGGAGTAAACCAGGCTTTGTTTAGAACAAGAAAGTGAAAGGGCTACAAAGAATGTAGGAACTAAATATTTTGCTGGTAACAAACATGAGTTTCCCTGGGCAAAATGAAAGGGTTTGAGTAATGGAAAAAGAGTAAGTGAGTGAGTGGGATTAAGGGATATAGTAAACCATGTGGAATGAGAGTCTTGGTACCCAGAGAGGATCTCAAAATCTTGACATTCTGCTGGTGATAGGATGTGAGGCATGATGTAAGTTTATGACAAACAAAACATCAATTTAAATGGCCCAAAGAGGGTAATGTTTTAGAACTTTTTAAAAAAACTACGTTTTAGTGGCTTAGCTAGAAAGGATTTGGCTCATATACACAAAAGATTAGAACTTTTCTTCAATCTTTTGCAAACAGGAAAACAAGCATTCCCTACCTGTGCTATCTATTGTTAGGGTTTCATTAGGTCTAACTGGAAATTACCTCAAGAAACAGCAGGTCATGATGGTTGATTGTCATTAGAAAGAACAACAGAGGAACAATTTAAATGAAATCTCTTAAATTAAATAATTAAATGAAATAGCACATTTAACTTCTTAGGGTGCTTTTTGTGATAAATTCATCCTGTGAGAGATTCATCAAAACACAGAGCTGCTCAATATCATATGTAAAGCAGGAGTCACACTACAGTGATAAATAACTTACATGATAACCACACACGGGTGTATGCATGCAAGTGAGGATATGAGTATGAGCATGCGGCAAGAAGTGTGAGTGTGCATTCATGTGAATGTAGGGGTAAGGGTGTGTGATTGTTATTGTATGTTAATATTATTGTATCACACACATTCATCATCTCCACTGAACTGTTGAGGATTTCAGGCCCACCCTTAGGAAAATATCCTCCCTATCTGCAAGTTCCCCAAGTCTCCTGCATGCTAACCCTTTCCATGGGTGAAAATAAGGCTCAATAACAAATATCAGTTTACCTTGCGTGTGTAGGACAAAGTGTAACTTCTGAAAATCAATTACAGTGAAAAATACATGTCAGGCAATTGTCAAAAAACTCAACCAGGGGTGAAGTGCAATCTCTCCCTTCCCAAAATCTCCTTTGAGAAATCTGATATTTGAGAGTAATAACTAAATAGATAAGTTAAACTCCCCTTTCTACTGATTTCCTCCTGACCATCTCTTTGTGAAATAAACTTCCTCCTAAATAGCAGGCATGGATTCTGTATTTGTTTGTTTTTATGCTGCTGATAAAGACATATCTGAGACTAGGCAATTTATAAAAGAGAGAGGTTTAATTGGACTTACAGATCCACATGGCTGGGCAAACCTCACAATCATGGTGGAAGGCAAGGAGGAGCAAGTCACATCTTACATGGGTGGCAGCAGGCAAAGGGAGCTTGTGCAGGAAAAGTCCACCTTATAAAGCAATCAAATCTCATGAGACTTATTCACTATCATGAGAACAGCATGTGAAAGACCTGCCCCCATGATTCAGTTATCTCCCACTGAGTCCCTCCAACAACATGTGGGAATTATGTGAGTAAAATTCAAGATGAGATTTGGATGGGGACACAGAGTCAAACCATTTCATTCCACCCCTATCCCCTCCGAATCTCATGTCCTCACATTTCAATACCAATCATTCTTTCCCAACAGCCCCCCAGAGTCTTAACTCATTTCAGCATTAACCCAAAAGTCCACAGTCCAAAGTCTCATCTGAGATAAGGCAAGTTCCTTTCACCCATGAGCCTGTAAAAACAAAAGCAAGATAGTTACTTCCTAGATACAATGGGGGTACAGGCATTGGGTAAATACAGTAAATACAGCCTTTCCAAATGGGAGGAATTGGTTAAAACAAAGGGGCTACAGGCCTTATGCAAATTTGAAATCCAATGGGGCAGTCAAAACTTAAAAGCTCCAAAATGATCTCCTTTGACACCATGTCTCACATCTGGGTCAGGCTGATGCAAGAGGTAGGTTCCTGTAGTCTTGGGCAGCTCCATCCCTGTGGCTTTGCAGGTTACAGCCTCCCTCCAGGCTGCCTTCTCGGGTTGGCAGCTTTTCCAGGTGAATGGTGCAAGCTGTTGGTGGATCTACTGACAGCTTCTGGAGTCTGGAGGATGGTGACTGTCTTCTCACAGCTCCACTAGGCAGTGCCCCAGTAAGGACTCTATGTGGGGGCTTTGACCCCACGTTTTTCTTCCACGCTGCCCTAACAGAGGTTCTCTATGAGCACCTTGCCCCTGAAGCAAACTTCTTCCTGGGTATCCAGGCATTCCACACATCCTCTGAAATCTAGGCAGAGGTTCCCAAACCTCAATTATTGACTTTTGTGCACCCACAGGCTCAACACCACATGGAAGCTGCCAAGGCTTGGGGCTTGCGCCCTGTGAAGGCACAGCCCGAGCTCTACATTGGTCCCTTTCAGCCATAGCTGGAGCAGCTGGGATGCAGGGCACCAAGTAACTAGGCTGCACATAGCACAGGGACCCTGGGCCTGGCTCAGGAAACCATTTATTCTAGGCTTCCAGGCCTTTGATGGGAGGGGCTACCGCGAAGACCTCTCATATGCCCTAAAGACATTTTCCCCATTGTCTTGGGAATTAACATTCAGCTCTTCCTTAGGTATACAAATTTCTGCAGGCGGCTTGAATTTATCTTCAGAAAATGGATTTTTCTTTTTTTTCTATCACATTGTCAGGCTGCAAATTTTCCAAACGTTTATGCTCTGCTTCCCTTATAAAACTGAATGCCTTTAGCAGCTCCCAAGTCACCTCTTGAATGCTTTGCTGATTAGAATTTTTTTCTGACAGATACCCTAAATCATCTCCCTCAAGTTCAAAGTTCCACAAATCTCTAGAGCAGGGGCAAAATACTGCCAGTCTCTTCAATAAAATATGACAAGAGTCATCTTTGCTCCAGTTCCCAACAAGTTCCTTATCTCCATCTGAGACCACCTCAGCCTGGACCTTATTGTCCATATCATTATCAGGCTTTTAGCCAAAGCCATTCAACAAGTCTCTAGGAAGTTCCAAACTTTCCCACATTTTCCTATCTTCTTTGGAGCCCTCCAAACTGTTCCAGTCTCTGCCTGTTACCCAGTTCTAAGGTCACTTCCACATTTTCAGGTATCTTTTTAGCAACGTCCCACTCGGCTGGTACCAATTTACTGTATTAGTTTGTTTTTACACAGCTGATTAAGACATACCTGAGCCTGGGCTATTTACAAAAGAAAGAGGCTTAATCTGACTTACAGTTCCATGTAGCTGGGGAAACCTCACAATCATGGTGGAAGGCAAGGAGGCTCAAGCCACATCATACATGGATGGCAGCAGGCAAAGAGAGTTTGTGCAGGAAAACTGTGACTTATAAAGCCATCAGATCTCGTGAGACTTACTCATTATCATGAGAACAGCACAAAAAAGACCTGCCCCTATGATTCAATTATCTCCCACCAGATCCCTCCCACAACACATGGGTATTATGTGAGTAAAATTCAAGATGAGATTTGGATGGGGACACAGAGCCAACCCATGTCAGATTCATTGTCCTCAGTGTAATTTTGTGCCCTCAGTTGTGCTAACAAAGTGCTGCTGTCCTATGTCAAAGCCGCGCCAAAACACACTTTCCATTTATTGTCTCTCCTAATGTATAACTATTCTGTTTAACTTTTAATGTATTAGGTTTAACTTAATTTTTGTCTTTTAAAATTTTATAAGCTCTATTGAATTCTTTTCAGAATCTCAATAAAAGGCAGCTCTCTGGCAAGGTATAGAGGCAAATATGTGTAGATGAAACTGAGGTTTAGAGTGCTAGTTCATTGTATTGGATTCTTATAACATATGAGATAAGCATTATCATGCCTACTTAGCAAACAAGGAAACTGAGGCCAAGAGAGATTAAGTGATACACTACTACAAGTCACTTGGATGAGATAAAGCATAATTTCTCTATTTACTTTCAGGAATATTAACTAGCATGGTATCTTTTAATAGGTGCTTAGTGAATGTTTCTTGATTGATGGCGGTTACTCAGCTCTCTGAAAAAAACCATCCAACACTTTGAGGAAAAAAACACCCTTTTTATCAGTTAATTCAATATTTCAGTAAAAGTTGGTTATTTGAGCCACAGTCATCCCCCTCATCCCAACCCACCTCCTTTACTAATGAAAGATAATTTCATTTCACTTAGTAGGTACTAAGTTATCGCAGGGATGGTAGCATCATCAGTTTATTGAACACAGAAAAATGGAATTGTAGAAATGTAAGAGTGGGTGAATTTCCAAGTGAGGATACAAATATGCTCTGTATCTTTAATATGACAGTTAAATACATTAGATGCTACAACACAGAAAAGTTTTTTGACCCTTCTGGTAGTATAGTGTAATTTACAAATCATATTAGTAAGCTATTCTGTTAACATTGATGACAGAAGTAAGGTGGTAAAAAGAGGTCTCCTAAGAATTACTCCTGGATAAAAGTATATAATCTTTTAATATGAGCTACCTTGACTAAAGAGTCCACACAGAATCATTTTCTTCATCAGCATGATAAAGTCTATTCTGACCACTTTCTTATAGTATTTTCATAGGGATCAAGTGTGAACATATTTGTTAAACTGTCTTGAAATCATAAAGCATTGAAGAAATAAGGAAATTATTGTCACCCAGGTGTTTACCTTTTAAAACAGTTGAAAATGTAACTTTATATAATGTGGGAAATTCACTTAAGAGTATTCATTCTACCAGGGAGAGGAACGATAGTGATGAATGTTTTGATATTAACTCAGTTTGATTTTTTAATGACATGTATTATTTCTTTGCCTTTATCATATTTCAGGATTGTTCAACCTGAATTGAAAGCACTTGCAATGGGTTTTCATTCAATGGTTATAAGAACACTAGGTATGACAAATATATAGATTACACATTTTAACATATAAATATTAATGTTAAGTCTTAAAGACTGAATGCAATTAATTTTCCACTCTAAGACTGTATAAAAAGGAGTAAGTAAGAATCATTTCTATTTTATGATAAATGAAAATAAAAAGGAACAGGAAAATTGAGTGACCTAAAAGATAATTTGATTGTTAATTCTAGTTAGAGTCTATCTGTTAAGAGCAAGGAGTCATCATGTTTATATTATACTCTTTCTAACAGAAACAGAAAGATAGGTGGTCTCTGAGGCTTTCCTTCTTTCAGAAAAATAAGAATATTTCTCCCAGGTATAGGCAGAGTGGAGGACCTTCCTTCCAAATGGAGACATTACTTAGGACAGCCCTAAAGTAGCTTGGGAGCCCTGGGAATCTGGTCAGGCTGAGGTTGTCTAAAACAACAGAAGGTGACATTAACTGTGCCATTTCCCACTGCCTGGTCCTGTACGGCTGGACAGCTAACCATTAGCAGGAGTTAATGCAAAAGGGAATGAGAATTCATACTCTAGAACTAGGCATGTTGGATTAAGAGGATGTCCTGAATAAAAGAAAGCTCAGAAAATTGTGGTTTATGGTGGCAAAGGGTAGGATTGTAGACTCCAAAGGCTGAAGGCCTATTTCTAAATATTCAAAAGTGATGAGAAAAGATTTAGGAAATGACCCTTTATCCCTTATTGCCATTTGCCTTTTTTACTGCACAGATACTTGTTGTTAAATAATGTCTAGTCTAACCTCTGTGAGTTGCTCCTTTGTAAGAATTGTAAACATTATGTGCTTATTCCTGGGAAGTAGGAAAAGGGCATCATTCATCTAGGGATTGGTGCAGAGGACTGATTATGGCCTGTAAGTAACCACAGATGGCAGAAGGAAAAGGAAGTGGGAGGGGTCAGTTTCTGGGACCCTTGCAAGCAAGGGAAAAAGTATAACTCTATGGGCAAATTACCGTGAAGAAGTTGTACATGAAGTGTATTTGGTGGGAAAGTCACAGATCCAGAAAGGTAAAAGGAAATATAAAAGGAATAGGAGAGAGAAGATGAAGATGCTGCAGGGTTCCATTGGCTCTATCCCAGCATTCCCTTTCTGGGTCCTTAATCTTCCAGCCTCTGTAATCTTGGCAGTTCTCTACCTCCACATTCAGAGAAGATATCTCGCTCCTAGAACCTGGGCCACAGAGGCTGAAAACAGCATCTGGGTAGTTAGGACTCCTTCTGATATGTTGAAATGAGATTATGACAATAGAAGAAATTGTTTTAGCAACATAACATAGAAAAAAATGAATTTTGCCATTCTAATTGTGAACATCCAATTTTGTTATGTCCAATATATGGTACAATGGACCCTAAATGCGTCTGTGGGAAACATCCACACTTAGTAGCAAACTTCCAATTCATGAACAGTTGTCTTAAATATGATATATGTGTAAATGGTAGAAGACCTATATAGTGTATTAACCTAAAAGAGATATTTAGAAAACAGATTATCAGAAGATTTACAATTCTAATAAGACAAAGTTTGTTACTTAAAACATTTACTTCATAAAGTTTGTTTAAACCAGTGGCATAACATGAAGAAAATAAATTGTTGGCATCTTTTCTTTATTTTTCAAAGGGTCGCTGTGATTTTTTGATATCTGCAAATTTTTCACCCATTATTTCAGGACCAGTTTGCTTCAGATGCATTGGCCTCAGACAACATTCCGTTGTGATTCTACTATTTCTCAGTCTCAGAAAATTGAGAATGATTAAACGTAAAAAGAATCGGTGAAACATTCATGTATAAATCACTGTCATTTTTTGTGACAAAACAAAATCTGAGAAGTATGAATCACAAAACAGAACAAGAACAAAGTGAAATCTTGTATGCTTCATTTCTGCCATCTGAACGATAGCTCTCTACTATGATGGCCTTCAAAATTTTGAACAAATTACCTATTCTTAAAACTAAGAGTTAATCTCAGAATTTATACTTCTCCTATAAATAACATATGTATCCCTGGAATGCTGCACATTCATCGAAATCAGGCACTACAGATAAAAAATTGACTTTGGACAGACCACTGAAAATATATGTATCGTTGTGCACTAAAGACCACTGACAGAAACAAAATTTAGCAACAGAGACCCTAACCTGCAGCCTAGCCTGCTTTAGGAGATATTAAAAAGTGCATGAAATCGATGGAGAGAAAATGCTTGATCGTGGGCTCTAATAGCAGTAAGAAAGAGAGAATTGGGCTCTGAGCCCAGAAAGAAGTGAAATTGGCCAATAGCTGAGCACTGTTTGAAGCTGGGCCTGAACTTCTCTGGGGAGGGAATCCCCGTGTAAGCATTTACTTTTTAATTATCTTAAAATAGTATTAAAATCTCCTGCCTTTACAGCAGTTGAGGTGAGAGCTTTTCCTTTTCTCATAAAGTTATAATTTAACCCTCAGTAATCCAGCCACTCTTGCCTAAGAAAAATTCCATATGAACCAACATAACTTTCATGTTTTACTAACAACATTCCCCTTTTTACCAATCCGGCTTCAGTTAATTTGTATTGTAGGAAGAACAGAGTATACAGGTGTATAATACTCTTTCTTCCCTCTGTATATAGGGAGAGAAGAGTAGATCAAATACATCTGTGACATTACCATATGATTTAAGCCTTTGCGATTTCTAATAATTTTGATTCTTGGGTGGATGGAGGCCAAAACAATGGAATAATTTTCCAAAACTTTAAACTTGTATTAATCCAAAATGTATCAGTGTAGACAATCACCCAGTTACATTTGAAACCTTTCACTTGGATTGATATCTTTTTATCTCATGTTGCAGGAGGAATTCTAGCTCCAATATATTTTGGGGCTCTGATTGATAAAACATGTATGAAGTGGTCCACCACCAGCTGTGGAGCACGAGGGGCTTGTAGGATATATAATTCCGTATTTTTGGGGTAAGTTGTCATAAACACATTTCATTAATAGATTTTTTTCTATGTTAATGTCTAAGATACAGCATTTTTAGTGTGATCATAATATTAATAATGACAGCTACCATTTAGTGAACCATTACTTTGTATTCACTATTGTATCAAGCATTCTGGTATCTCATTTTAATACTCATAGAAACTGTAGGAAATGTATATATTTCTCCTTTTTCCTTAAATATGAAGAAAACAAGATTCAAGAATAATGAGCAACTTGTCCAAAATTGCACAAGTAAAAGAAATACAGCTAGGATTTGTACTTGAATCTCTTTTGATTACAAAGCTCTCTCCCACTGGCTTCTCCAGGAAGACACAGAATGACCAGCTGCAGCTCTGGTTATATGGTAATTGAGGGAAAAAAATGGAAAAAAAAAGTTTCAATACTCTTCTATTCATAGGCAGAAGTATCCTGCAAGTGACATTAAAATAACTAGATTATCTGGAAGAAAAAAAAAGCTGCTGCAATTGTACCTTACCTCTTATAGAAACATTAATGTGTAATCTATGTACTGACCCAATATATAAATTTGATTCCTGAAACTGTAAGTATTAGAACTACTCATAGTAGAATTTCTTTTAACTATCTAGGAAGAATAAATGTGTTTGTAAGTATGACCCAAATGCTTCAACGTATAATAGAAAAATAATGATGAAAGGATTTACATTGCTTTGTATATATACCCAATAATAGGATTGATGGGTTGAATGGTAATTCTGTTTTATGTTCTTTGAGAAATCGTCAGACTGCTTTCTATAATGACAGAACTAATTTATATTCCCACCAGCAGTGTATAAGCATCCCCTTTTCTCCACTACGTCTTCAGTATATTTTTTTTGACCCCTTAAAAACAGCCATTCTGACTGGTGTGGGATGGTATCTGATTGTAGTTTTGGTTTGTAAATCTCTAATAATCAGTGATGTTGAAACCTAAGTGAACTAATGCATGAAGAGAAAACCAAATATCGTGGCCAGGCACAGTGGCTCACACCTGTAATCCCAGCTCTTTGGGAGGCCGAGGGTGGGCGGATCACGAGGTCAGGAGATCCAGACCATCCTGGCTAACACGGTGAAACCCCGTCTCTACTAAAAAATACAAAAAGTTAGCTGGGCGTGGTGGTGGGTGCCTGTAGTCCCAGCTACTCGGGAGGCTGAGGCAGGAGAATGACATGAACCCGGGAAGTGGAGCTTGCAGTGAGCTGAGGTCGCGCCACTGCACTCCCGCCTGGGCGACAGAGCAAGACTCCGTCACAAAAAAAGAAAAAAAAAAGAAAACCAAATATCGCATGTTGTCCCTTGTAAGTGGGAGCTAAACATTAAGTACATATGGACCCAAAGTAGGGAACAATAGACACTGGAGCCTACTTGTGGATGGAGAGTGACAGGAGGGTGAAGAAACAAAACTACCTGTAAGTGACTATGCTTATTTAAAAAAGAAGAAAGAACAAGAACAGATAATAAAATATTTTAAAATCTGCATCACACAATGTATTTTAAGCAAAGTTCAACAGCAGGGGTAAATTAGAAGAGTTTGTAATTCAGACACAGACACAGCCAAATGTCCTATGTATATAAGGATCTCTTAAAAATCTACAAAAACAGGCTGGGTGCAGTGGCTCACAACTGTAAGCCTAGCACTTTGAGAGGCTGAGGCAGGCAGATCACTTGAGACCAGGAGTTTGAGACCAGCCTGACTAACATGGTGAAACCTTATCTCTAGTAAAAATACAAAAAAAATTAGCCGGGCATTCTGGTACATGCCTGTAATCCTAGTTATTTGGGAGGCTGAGGTAGGACAATTGCTTGAACCCGGGAGGTGGAGGTGGGAGATCACCAACTGCACACCCCAGCCTTGGGTGACAGAGCAGGCAGGACTCCATCTCAAAAAAAAAAAAAAAAAAAAAAAATCAATGCAAACATCAAATGCTAGCAAGAATGGAAAACAACAGGAACTTCCTTTCATTGCTGGAGGTCATGTAAAATGGTACTGGAGTGTTGGAAGACAGAGTGAAATTTTCTTACAAAGCAAATAGAGTTATTGTATGATTAAGCAATCGTACTCCCAGATATTTACATAAATTAGTTGGAGACATGTCCACACAAAAACCTGTACCCGAATATAAAAAAGTGGAAGCATTGAAGATGTCCTTCAGTAGGTAAATGGATAACTAAACTGTTACATTCATATAGTGGAATATTAGTAATCAATGTATTAGTCTATTCTCACACTGCTATGAAGAGCTACCTGAGACTGGGTAATTCATGAAGAAAAGAAGTTTATTAACTCACAGTTCCACAGACTTAACAAGAAGCATGACTGGGAGGCCTCAGAAAACTCACAATCATGGCAGAAGCCTAAAAGGAAGCAAGGCATGTCTTCTCCTAGTGACAGGAGAGAGTGAGGGAGAGAGCAAAGGGGGAAGTGCCACACACTTCTAAACCATCAGACCTCATGAGAACTCACTCACTGTCTTGAGAACAGAAAGCGAGAAATCCACCCACAAGATCCAGTCACCTCACACCAGGTTCCTTCTCCAATTCAACATGAAATTTGGGCAGAGACACAAACCCAAACCATACCATTCAACCCCTGGTCGTTCCCAAATCTCATGTTCTTCTCACATTGCAAAATACAGTTATCCTTCTCAACAATCCCTGTGTCTTAACCCATTTCAGCATTAACTCAAAAGCCGACAGTCCAAAGTCTCTTCTGAGACAAGGGCCCTTCCACCTATGAGTCTATTAAATTTTAAAAAGTTAGTTACTTCCGGCCAGGCACGGTGGCTCACACCTGTAATCCCAGCACTTTGGGAGGCCAAGACGGGTGGATCACAAGGTCAGGAGATTTAGACGATTCTGGTTAACACGGTGAAAGCCCATCTCTACTAAAAATACCAAAAAATTAGCCTGGCATGGTAGTGGGCACCTGTAGTCCCAGCTACTCGGGAGGCTGAAGCAGGAGAATGGCATGAAACCAGCAGGTGAAGCTTGCAGTGAGCTGAGATCACGCCAGTGCAGTCCAGTCTGGGCTACAGAACAAGACTCTGTCTAAAAAAAAAAAAAATTTAGTTACTTCCAAGATATAATGGGGGTACAGGCATTTGGTAAATACTCTTATTTCAAATGGGAGAAATTGGCCAAAACAAAGGGGTTACAAGCCCCATGCAAGTTCAAAACCCAACAGGGCAGTCATTAAATCTTAAAGATCCAAAATGATCTCCTTTGACTCCATGTTGCACATCTAGGGCACGCTGATGCAAGAGATTTGTGCCCCAGGCTTTGGGCAGCTCCACTCCTGTGGCCCTGCACGTACAGTCCCCATGGCTGCTTTCACTGGCTGGTGCTGAGTGCCTTCAGATTTTCCAGGCACACAGTGCAAGCTGTTGGTGGATCTACCATTCTGGAGTCTGGAGGACAGTGGCTCTGTTCTCATAGCTCCACTAGGTAGTGCCTCAGTGGGGACTCTGTGTGGGAGGTCCAACCCCAAATTTTCTCTCTGTACTGCCCTAGTATAGGTTCTTCATGAATGTTCCACCCCTGCAGCAGACTCCTGCCTGGACATCCAGGCATTTTTTTTTTTTTTTTTTTTGAGACAGTGTCTTGCTCTGATGCCCAGGCTAAAGTGCAGTGGCACGATCTCAGCTTACTGTAACCACGACTTCCTAGGTTCAAGCAATTACTGTGCCTCAATCTCCTGAGTAGCTGGGACCACAGGCATGCACCACCACACCTGACTAATTTTCATATTTTTAATAGAGATGGGGTCTCGCCACGTTGGCCAGGCATTTTGATACATACTCTGAAATCTAGGAAATCTAGGAATAGGTTCCCAAACCTCAACTCGTGCTTTCTGCACACTCATAAGCCCAACACCATGTGAAAGGCACCAAAACTTGGGTCTTGCATCCTCTGAAGTCATGGCCCAAGCTGTACCTTGACTCCTCTTAGCCATGGCTGGAGCTGTAGTCAGTGGGAAATAAGGTGCCATTTCCCAAGGTTGCACAGGGCAGCAGGGCCCTGGGCCTGACCCACAAAACCATTTAACCCTCCTAGGCCTCCAGGCTGGTGATGGGAGGAGCCTCCATGAAGGTGTCTAAAATGTTCTGGAGATATTTTCCCCACTGTCTTGGCTATTAACATTTGGATCCTCTTTACTTATGCAAATTTCTACAGCAGGCTTGATTTTATCCTCAGAAAATAAGTTTGTGTTTTTCTACCACATGGCTGGGTTGCATATTTTCTAAACTTTTATGCTCTGCTTCTCTTTTAAATATAAGTTCCAGTTTCAGATAATCTCCTTGTTCATGCATATGAGTAAACACTTTCAGAAACAGCCAGGTCACATCTTGAATGCTTTGCTGCTTAGACATTTCTTCCACCAGATACCCTAAATCATCTCTCTCAAGTTGAAAGTTCCGCACATCTCTAGAGCAGGGACAAAATGCCACCAGTCTCTTAGCTAAAGCATGGCAAGAGTGACCTTTACTCCAGTTCCCCATAAGTTCCTCATCTCCATCTGAGACAATCCTGAACTTCATTGTCCATATCGCTAGTAACATTTTGGTCAGAACCATTCAACAGTCTCTAGGAAGTTCCAATCTTTCCCACATCTTCTGTCTTTTTCTGAGCACTCCTAACTGTTTCAACCTCTGCTCGTTACTCAGTTCCAAAGTCGCCTCCACATTTTCACGTATCCTTACAGCAGTGCCCCACTCCCAGTACCAATATTCTCTATTAGTCTGCCTCAGAAAACTAACAGTCATGGTGGAAGGGGGAAGCAAGTCATGTCTTCTCATTACAACAGAGGAGAGAAAAGTGTGCAATGGAAAGGGATACACACTTCTAAACCATCAGATCTGGTGAGAACTCACTCTCCATCATGAGAAGAGCAAATGGGAAATCCACCCCCATGATTCAATCACCTCCCACCAGGCCCCTTCTCCAATATAACATGGAATTTGGGCAGGGA